AAAATCCACCCCCCCCAAAAAAAAAAAACAAATCAAAAAAATTAAAGGTGTCCTTTTTATAATATATATATATATATATATAACTTTGGAAGTCAGCCACCTATAGGTAAAGTAATCAGTTCAGTTTTCATGGACATACTTCTGATGTTCCAAGGGCTTGACATTATTATCACCAATCTTATACATTTGAACATCTAAATTATCACAGTTTTAATTAATTCCAAGTTTATCCTAAATGTATTATTCTGTGAACTAGCAAAACCTCCCTAAGGGATATCTTTGGCCTTTAAATGTATTTCTTGAAGAATCAATTTTGCTTCTCTTGAAGATCAAATACCAAGACAGGACTAGGCAATTGGTTGTGTAAGCCCATCTGTATAGACTCATGCGGGAGTCCCAAATATATACACCAATCAGAAGGCTCGGCTTACTTTCATGGTATTTTTTGGTTATAAGGGTTGATCCTGACTGTTCTGGCAAAGATAAATGGCAATTTACCAGTGTTCTTTTAATAATTTTCTATAAAAAGAAATGTACATTTCATTAATCTATAAATTGAATATTAATCATTTTTCTATTTTTTTTCATGTAATTTAACAGATTTGTTTTTAATGATGATTTCCTAAATTTAGTGAAATATCAATGAACAAATGCCTGGGGTAAAGTTCTTTTATGTTACTTGTGTTTTTAAACTTTTGTCTAGAAACCATCTGTAGTTGCCTTTCCAACTGACCCTCTCATAAATACTTTGATTCAAACATCTCATTGGTCCCTTCCAGGGAGAGAGTAAATAAATGAACACTGAGCAGCAATTCATGCCTTTAACTTGTTCCTTCCCAGTTGATAGCAGCATTGATGCTAACCAGCCATTCATTCCTTCTACTGCTCTCTTCTAGTAGAGGCCAAACAAAGCTGAAGCTAAACAGTCATTAGTCATTGCCTCTGCGGAGTCAGCTTCTTTCTGGCCCTTCCCTTTCTTCAGCCTCCCAAATACCCTCAGAAACACTTTGGAACACAGCTTTGACCCCCTTTAGCTAAATTCTGCATCTAGCCCTTTCAGTCCTTTCCCCCACTGGAATCTGGAAGGAATTCCTGTCAGTGATTTCCCATTGTTTCTATAAACAATTTTCTCTCAATATTAAGTGTTTCTAACTGCATGACTTCGATTCTTTTTCATTTTATCTATTTTATCTTAAGTTGTAAATTTTTAAGAACAAAGGTAAATCATATTTGAAAAATAATAAAAATAATATATTCAAATTAAAAAGGAGGCGATTAATTTCTGGAAAAACAAAAGGTTGCACAAGAAACAAAATACAATCAGAATATGACACTTAGCTTGGCATAGTACTTATCTAGATATAATTTTAAAAGCCAACTACAAATATAAACAAAAGTATATGAAAACTACATTAGAAGAATGGGAAGAAAATTGTGTGTGAGTGTGGGATGGTCAGGAGAATCAAACTCATTTTCCTTGGGAAGCAGAAGAAAATAGATAGTAACTAACAATACCTAAAAATTATCAGTAGAACCTTCCTGAAGAATAGCAAAAAATGTTTAACATTGCCGGCATTGGGGAGTAGGAACTAGCCACTTGTCTGGCTAAGCCAGGGAACCACCCATGTTATAAGCTTTGTAGTATTGTTTTGGCTTTGGCTTTGAAAACCATGAATACCTATTGCTATAATAAAAGATAAGCCGTACGCAGGGGCACACACCTGTGATCCCAGAGGCTCTAGAGACTGATTCAGGAGGATCTTGAGTTCAAAACCAGCCTCAGCAAAAAAGCAAGGTTTCTCACAATTCAGTGAGACCCTGTCTTTAAATAAAAAATATAAAATAGAGCTGGGGATGTGGCTCAGTGGTCAAGTGCCCCTGAGTTCAATCCCGAATACCCAAACACACACACACACACACACCATTTAATTAAAAAGTAATTTTAAAAAGAATCATAAACAAATAATTGAAAAAATTATCTCAGGCAAGATCATCTTCCTAAATTGAAATCAAGATCCTCTCCCTCAGTAACCTGACTCCCTAGAGTCAGGTCAGGCTGTTACCACAGGTGTAGTCATTGGAGCCTGCATGCCTTGGAATGAAATCTTTCTGGACCTGGAGTCTCACCAGCTTCACCTGCAGGCTCACCAACAGGCCCGCTCTTCTGCCTGGCCAACCCTAGTCTCTTCCTCCAGAGTAGAGCGCATTATAACACGGTAGTAGTGATGGTGGTGGTAGTGGTGGTGATGGTAGTGGTCCGTTAGGTCCTTCCTGTGATTCTCAGATACATCTACATTCTTGATACTATTTTAAATGGTGCTCCCCTTATGATTTTTATAACTGCAATCTGCTATCTAACAACGTTTATGGAAGGAGAGGCATCAATTCTCCTTACCAGTAAAACTATTGTTTCCATAGACTTTTTGTTGCATAGTCCATGAACCGTGCAAAAAATGCCACCTTGATTTCTCATTTTCTCAAAGAGCTCTGTACTCCCTGAAGCTTGGTACGCATGTTGTTGCACACGGCTGCCCTCTGTCATCATGGAGTAGTGAGTTCTGATCACTGAGACTGTGTCAGGTGCCAATACTCATCCTTCAGATTAATGCTCTACCAAGAATTTTAAGAACATCATTTCGGTTTTACTGCAGTCATCTACCCTTGTTTCTGAAATTTAGTTGTGTTGTTGGCATGTGTATTTAGGTTAATGTCATGGTGAAATCCAATGTGTGAACACGGGGCTGTACTAAAATGGGCACATTACTCAAAGGGTTTTTCGGGCTCTTCCATCTCCACCAGTTGCTTTTTACATCAAAGGGAGAGAATAGTAAGAAACCACATAGTTGGTTTTCTGACTGTTTTACAATAGCACTTTAAAGTCAGGACTCTTTATAAGCATTCAAGGAAGAAATGCATAAGCAAAGTTTTAAGAAAACTTTTATTGAAAGATCGGACTTACTGAAGAAACTATGCTAACTGGAATGTTGTATAATCTACATTAGAATTCTTGTTTTCATTTCATAAAATGTAACTCATTAAAGATCAAAATGTTTATATGAATTAGTCTATGCAAAGCTGCTTTGGTGTTCTCTATGAAGATGTTCATAGTTTTTCTTTCTTTATAAAAACCTTATGGAGATTAGAGATTATTTTTCTTAAAAATTCTTAACCTTTCATTCTATTTAGCATTAGCAGTAAGCATCTTTGTATTCATCATATTGATTTATATCTCTCAGATTGATAAATGGATATGATGTCAACTGTGGGAATAGCAGTGATTTGTTTGAAGATCAGTCCAACTTTTAGGAAATAAATACATGGCTTTTCAGAGGGTTAGAAAATCTGTGATAATACTTGTGCTCATTTATAATATAGTCATAGAATCAAAGATGTTAGAACTCAAAGAGAGCATCCGGCTTAATTTTATGGATGAGAACTATGAGCTCAGAGATGAGTGGCTTTTCAAAGTTAAATAGATAGCATATACCAAATCTTAAGTCTCTTTGATTCCAAATTCATCATTTCTTCCACCGTGTTATACTATCAAAATATTTTTTAAGTCTTGCTAGAATTCTATTTAAGCCCACAGAAATGCCCATTTACTAACTGAAATCCAAGCACCAAAATTTCTAATTGTTCTCAGGTTTTATATTATCAGTATATATTTATATATCATATTATATTAAGAAATCCATGTTATTTTTCTAGTTCTCTAATGGCAACATTAATTATCTTGGCTTCCAATGCAGGATCACACTGCAAGTGCTTGCATTCATTTACAGTTTGTGTCTAATCACTGTATAATAGCTTTTTGGTCCACAAACCATTTGTTTTAAAGCATAAACTCCTGCATCCAAAAATTTTTTTTTACAATTATAAATTCCTGGACTGCAAGGACATTAATGATTTTCCTAGACTAGAGGTGTTGCTTAGTGGTAGATTCTCACCTAGCATGCAAAAGGCCGTGGGTTCATTACTCAACAACAACAACACACGCACACACACACACACACACACACACACACTTTCCTATTGTGTACAGGATGCATAAAATGCACTTTGATACCCTAAATAAGTAACTTAACATGAAGTGCGAGGGATTTCTTTCAAGCTCATGTTTGTGTGTTTGTGTGTGTGTGTGTGTGTGTGTGTAAAATCTGAATCAATGTCTTTGTGCCCTGGGGCAGTTCCACGTTTGTGTTTTGTGTGGCCTACATGCCCTATGGGCATTTGCCAGGTGATAGTCATTATAATAAGTATTATTGTTACAGCCCTATTCTTTCCTTTTCCTTTTATTAAGGCCACACTTCTACAAAATAGCTGAAGAAGCTGATCACATGGAATACATTTTATTTTTATATAGTCTTTAGAGGACTGGTTTCAGTTCATCATAATATTCAACATAATTATGGAATCTGAAAATTGGAAGGAACATTGGAAAACAACCTCTTATGTCTACTGTGAAAAAATATTTTAAATAAAAGCAAAGAAATCCTCTACAGTTCTTCAATAGCTAACATAGCTCATAACCATTAAAATTAGTTATCTTATTACTTTTATAATTCCTTATTTTTGCAATGGGATCACATAACATATTTATGTCTGCTATCAAAAGATTATTTAGATTATTTACTGGTGGTATAGATCACAGATTTTTAAAAAGTCTTGATTTCCTTAAGATCTTTCTAATAACTACCTATATTCTTTGAAAAGCATATTTTAATTTCTGAGATTTTTTAATAGAAATTAAATGAAAAGGAGTACTAATATCAGAATGAATTGAAGTCTACCTTGGGAATGATTTTCCTTGAGGATAAATAGAAAAATAAATATTCCCAGGCAAACTATGCAACAGCTCACCAGGTTTGGCCCATCAGAAGTGGCTATATTTGGGGGTTGTGTGGGTACTAAACTGTGGTTTCCAAAGAGATGTTCCTGAATTCAGCACAAAGCACAATCTGGCTGCAGTCACTGTCTCTATAGCACTCTTTCACCAAAGGAGAACTTAGATCGTGTTGATTATACTGATTATATACGTCAAGCAGTCCTTAGCTGCTCCTTTGTTATTTAGGAAATTTTCTTGAGAAATAAGTTTCTTGATTTCATATTCCTGAGCGCAGTGCGGTTGAAGAAAAAAAAAATTCAAGCGAGAAAGCTGCACAGCATTCAGGCAAATTCTGGTTGGAGAGGAAATCTGTTCCCATGATTAGTGCGCGAGCTTCCCCAGCTAGCCTGTAGGTGGGTGTGTTTAACAGAAGGAAGCAATGGGGACCGCCTGTCAGCCAGCCTTTCGAGCTAATTAGCTCAGCATACAACAAAGATAAGTGAGCCTGAGAGGAGGGCCCCCTGAGGGGTCTTTAGATTCTGGGAAATGTCTGATTGGCAGATGTTAAAAGGGATTCTTTGGTAATCCAGTGCATCAATGAGCTGCACAAATTCAGTCCAGGACTGCAAGAATTCAGGCATGAGGACACTGTGCAGCAGGCTCACACAGACAGACCCGAGATGGACAGAACCTTGGAATCTCTGAGACACATCATTGCCCAAGTCTTGCCTCACAGAGACCCAGCTCTAGTCTTCAAAGACCGTAAGTATTGAACGGGAAAGAAGGGTTGGTTTTTTTTTTTTGACTTTAGAAAATAGTTCTAAACGTCTAGTCACATCCCATTTAAGTATGAATTCTTCTAAATCTCTGTAGTCGTGTTCTGTGTCCTAAATGATGTCTAACTTGTTCCTGACTCCAGTCAGAAGAATGATTTCATTTCATCTACTGGCAAGAGGCGCTGGATGATTTTGCAGTGACACATCTTGCAGGACTGTTTAGAAGTTCCTTTCTTCTAAAATCTAAAACCCGCCAAATCTTAATGAACTTTTCCAGATGCTCTTTAAATAAAGCAGGACTGACTGGAACCGAGATTAAAACTAAAAATAAGTTGGAAATGATAATAAAATATACCTGTATTTGTTAACCTGTTTCATTCTCCACAACATATATTAGTTTTGTTAGATCAAGTATTGTGTTTCTATAAAATTTTGTTGCAAAGTTTAATAATGAATCACCACTGAGCTCTTTAATTTTGATAACAAATTATAACACTTCAGGTAAAAATAAAATGAGAATCACCGCCCCCCCCCAATCTCAGCAAAACCCCATCCTTTGGTATAGGTGTTATTTCAAAATCTTTTAAAAAAATAATTATGAAAAATAATTAAATCAAGCTTTCCAATTGTAGCAATACTATTAAACTATTTGTCATATAACTTCATTTCTGGAACCAATTTGATTTCCTGCTGCTGCAAAACAGACTATCTTCACATTGTATCTTATCTACAGTGGGTTTCATATTACAAAGGGCTTCTGAAATAGAACTTTGCTTTGGAACTGCCCAAAAGGTAAAATGCATATGGATTTTTTTTTTTTTAACTTCAATCGGTTACAGCTTTCCTCCTTGTGAATCTAGTTATGTTTGTCTCCATCAAAACATCAATGGTTTGGATTTTTGCTTTCTGATTACTGAATAACGTTCCTTTCCAGATGTCCTTTTAGTTTATATTTCTCATATGTGTGATGAAAAAAGAGAAATGTTGGGCCATTTTATTCTATAAATTTTTCCTCTTAGAAATTAAATTGTAACCAATCTACCCTCTAAGGCATAAAGTGAAAGCCTTTTCTTCTTCTTCTTCTTTTTCTTTTTTAATATTGTCTGCAAGCATTTGTCAATAGCTATGTTAGAGCTAATAAAAATCACTCCATCCCCTAGCCTAGCCTGGAGTCTATTCAGGCGTGGTATGTTTCTTTAAGTGAAAAGAGAAGGAAAGAATGTCTCTCTCCTACAAAGGCTCTGAATTACTAGTGAAGGATAAAAGGGCTTTTCGGCTGCCCAAAGCTTTGGATAAATTATATAGGACCAGGGGACTTATGCTGAGAGTGGAGGCAGTAAAAAGAAATAGAAGATTTTTCCCTAAGCTCACTGTAAATTTAAGAAGTTTAAATCTGAGATTGTATGGCCCACTTTTTAAGCTGATCTAAATTCCAGAAATTGCTTACAGTTTAGAAGAGAGAATAGAATTCTTTAGAGGGAGTAATAATGAAGCTTATATTAAGTTCTATCATCCAGACTTTTTCAGGAAGTCTTTTATATCCAAAAACAAAAGCATCCCATTTTATATATTTCATTCATGGATACAGAATCTAGATTTGATCCCGTAGCATTTGCCTGCTTACCCTAGCCTGGGCTGCCACTCTGCAGTTGCTTGCCTGGCTTAATGGGTGTGAATATTAAGCTACTGACCCTCTTCCTTCTGGTTTTTATAATGTGAAAAGTGACTCCGTGAAAGGGAGTCAAATAGTACATTTCTGGACCAGGAGTTTCCATAGCATTGAAACATCTTATCACTCACCATCCTGTGGAATAGTGGGAATGGGTTAACTTGCTTTCTGGTGCAGAACCTCAAGCCTGGTTGAGGTCTAAACCATGCCTTGGCAACCTGTAGGTGCTACACATGCCAGAGTTTGGCACGTGGACCTCCTTTCTTTGGCACACTCATAAGTTGCTGCCACCACACTTTTGCTGGCAGCCTGTAAAAAAACTGCCACTAGCCTTGAATGGCAGGTTCTGAGAAGCTCCCCCTCCTCCTGTTCACTCCTGGCTCCTCCTCCTCTGCCACCCCTTCCAACCTCTTTCTGCCAGAAGGGAAGGGCTGAATACTTGAGCACATTACTGCCAATTAAGAAAAATGGTCACCTTGCTTTTCTGCAAGCTCAAAAGCTGATCCAAGAATTTTTAACACCCAGCCCAGTTGAACAAAGAAGCATTAAAAAAAAAAAAAAGACTTTCAGTTTTTCTAATTTTTTCTTCTGTGAATGCAAAAGCAGCATTTGCTCTCTTCATTATTTGGACACACAGAAGGCAGAAAGTGTAAACGGTCACTCTATTCATTCATTGCCCTCTGTTGGCTTTGGATTTGCTTAAAAAACAAGCAATTGGTCAGGAAAAGCACCCAGTACGTTTTCTGGTCTGAGACAGATGCACATGGGAACAGTTACATTCATTGAAGGAAATGAACTTCTCAAGTTTTTTTTCTCAGACAAGGAGGTCCTTCAAATTTTACAATATGTTAAATCTGTCATTTTATTTTAGAGGAGGTGTTCATCTGGGAGTATTTGTGATTTGTTTTTTATTTTCTCTACTGAAAGGAAATTAATTCCATAACACGTTTTTTGTTCTTTATTCCCTATTTCACATTTCAAATAAAAAACAATGGAAAGAGGTTTTAAACAAGGCAGGCTCTCAATTTGAGGTTTGCTTGTCTAGGCTGACACTGGACTGTTCTTCACTACATCAATTTCTCTTCTTTGTAACAAGTAGCACTGGATAGTTCCATACTACCAGACAGGATGTCTTTGCAGAGAAATTATGGAATATGTCCATGCTGCAATATCTATTCCCAGCTTTGTGCAATATCCAGGTTCTCTTCACGCATCATGCATCACAACCAAAGATGAGCTCTCATGAAGGTGGTCCTGGTGCTCTTTCAGGGGAGTATATGTGCTTACTGTTTGTTTGCCATTGTCTGCCATGTCCTCAGTTGCTTTCTCAAAAGATATCATCACATGACTATAAGAGGGTTGCACTTGCAGATTCTGATCTGAGTGTTAATTCTTCAGATTAAAGGAATGTAATATGCTTATCAGCCATTTTGGAGCTCCTCGTTCGTCCATTTAATAGTAACATGAGGATAGCAAGTCCTGGTCATGTGACAGGCACTGTACTAGAAACATTGTCCTCAGCAATCCCGCAATACATATCGTTGTTATTTATAGGTAAGGGAACTGAGTTTCATGGAGGTTAAGATAATGTAGCTAATAAGGGATGGAGGCACAGGATACAAACTCCTCACCTTTTGTTCTTTAGTCTTCCAACTCCTCACCTTTAGTAATTAAAAGACTCAGGTGTTGGTTACCATGTCCTTGCATTATAATAGCAGTATCTATTAGGAAAACATGGAGGGGAAAGAAATAGGCTTCTCGAGAAGTTTGAAGAGAGCCTATTGGTTACATCTGAGCAAGAGTATGTTGAGAAAGTGAGACGAAAGGGCATATATTTTGGGGGTGAAGGTACCAGGGATTGAACTCAGGGGTACTTGACAACTGAGCCACATCCTCAGCCCTATTTTATATTTTTAATTAAAAAAAAAAAGATCTCACTGAGTTGCATAGCACCTCATTTTTTGCTGAGTCTGGCTTTGAACTCGTAAACCTCCTGCCTCAGACTTCCAAACTCCTGGATTTACAGGTGTGCACCACTGCACCCAGCAGGAAGGGCATTTTTGAGGAGAGAAATATCTTGTCCAATAGAAATGCAAGAAGCATGCCCTGGGAGGATGCAAGTTGGATCTGACTGACATTCAGGCAAAAGGGAGCCATTGGAGTTAACCATGATCCTAGATAAATTCAGGGAGTTTATGGCTTTATAGTACATTGGGGAAAAGCTTATATGGACATCTGTTGGAGGTACACTTTCTAATACCTAAGTTAGGGGAAATCACAGCTTTTTCTCAGCAAGAAACAATTCACTAGCTCAGGCAAGATGTAAGATTTGTGAATGTCAAATGTGCTTATGGGGAGAAACCACTTTCATTGACTGAAGGCCAAAATCAAGACATACTTTCTTTAAAAAAAAATTGTTTAAAAGCTGGCATAATTATCAATATGAAAATGAGTTTTTTTTTTCTAGCATTGACTTTATAAAGTGACAGGTATATTTCCCTCTATCTCACAATTAAAAAGTAAGATGAAACTTGTACTAAACGTTGCTCAACTGGAAGAAAATTTCTCACATATTTGAGGTGCATTAACTCTTTTATTTAGAAAAACATTTTTCTGCATGAAAGGTTTTATTTATATCAGATAGGTGAATACTTTACTTCAAAGAGTATATTTTTACCCTTTGGAAAAATTGAACCAGACGATAGAGCTATTAAAAACATCTTAGTAATCATGACTCTGGCTATATGCAGCAGAGGAGAGCAAAACCCTCAAGAGTCAAGTATTTTTTCCATCCCATGCTTTTTAGTGTAGTTACTTGAAATCTATAAATTTGATGATACATTTATAGTTTTCACATTTCACATAAAGGAATGGAGTAGGAGGGAAGGGATGGAGGTCCTTGTGGGGTAAAATCCCTACACACATTGCACTGCGTTCCACAATAGAAATCATGCCTGAAAGAATATACAACTCAGAAACAAAAACTTCACTGTTTGCTCTCTCATTTTAGAATAATGACTACATCTTAATTATAATAATTTAAGCTCTGATAATTTTAGCATTAAACTGGAGATGTGTGTTTTATAGAAGCCTATTCAAATAGTAGTTTTACTTTATTATGCATGTTGCTCTTTTTATTTGAATTTATACTAAGAAAAATGTAGATTTCAATTCAGCCATCAGTGACAGAAGAGCTGTTTGACATTTGACAGGTTTAAATACTGAAAGTCTCAGCACCAGAGAAAAATTTTTCAAAATGAGGGGTGGGGGGAGTGGCTTTTTGATCACAGTGCCCTATCTGTCCTGATACTTTTATT